CTATCGATTAAACCACAATATTGTTCAATCAATTATTGATCAAAATGTAGTGACTACCAAAATAAATGCGTCAGGAAAAATATAATAATTGAACTGAATGCGCATTAGAGTTACTCGGTTAGTTGGAAATAAAAACTCGACTTGAAAGGAAACAGACTATCAGATAGACAAACATGATCGATTAAAAGATATTTGATGAAAGGCATTAATTTGAACTGCAGATATTAATTAAGGAACATTCCATAATGGTTATTGATAGTCTACAATGGATTGTCCCATGCCAATTACCCCCCAAAAATCATAAAAATAATTTTTGACATTGCTGGTTTTTAAATTTAAGAGAATCAAATTGAACATAAGAATTAGTGTATCTAAAAAGTTTTACCATAATTTTAGAGTAAATAAATGATAGAATACTTTCAGGCTCTGGAATTGGTTTTTTATTTATATTATCATTATCCAGCATAAAAATCGGTAAAACATTTAAAAAATTCAGTAATTCTATGCTCAAGTATCGTCACTGTCTTTTGTCCACAGACACTTCAAAATTATTGGCAGACCACATTTCAAATATACAGACGCTTGACTGGTAATGATAGAAGACAACAAATGGGCCAGTAATTCCATGTATCACATTAAACGTTCCTTTGCCAAAAAGCTCCTTCTGAGTTCGATAAATATGCTGATTATTGTTCAACTCAGTGAGTGATATAATCCACCAGGCTAGGTTGACGATCGACAAGAAGAGAAGCACTGATCGAAAACATTCCGTGGAATTTCCAGTCGCAGTCAGCCGGAGACTTTGGATGATCAACAAAGTCTGCAGTACAATCCTAAGTAACGTCAATAACGCGTCTAAAACTGTGGAGCGTAGGTAACACTTCCTGTCGTCGACCACATAGGAAACCAAACTTAGGTTGCCGAACATCTCTTGCAGAACGTAGAAAAACAAACACAGTAAAATTATTGCTTCGTCCAATTGAAAAGCCGTCTGAAATTGAGGCAGCCGGTAATATCGTGGAAAGTAAATCAGGAGAAAGATGACGCTTACGACCGTTGTCAAATTTAAGGTCAGTCTCAGGTTGTAGTAAGTGATATCCACGGGGCATGATCGGTTATCAACTTCACTATCAGATATTATGGTCGCAATGATGGTACCAACGATGGACCCGCAACCGAGTATCAATCCAACACTTGACACCCACGATGACTGACGTCTCTTCGATGACGTCAGAATATTCTTAACCTGATTCTGGAGAGGCTTGCCAACAACATACCACATGATAACCACTGTTCCCGCAGCGATGAACGAGTACTGAAGTCGACAGACTAGTAAATAAGGCCGCACAGCCCGCCAACTTTTTATCAATGCGGTGTCATTAGGATCTATAATCAAACAATTAAAAATGATTAGCTAAGACTTTCTAGGAAGTTTCTACAGCTGATGAAAATCTGCAAAATTCTGATATATCGGAGATACTCGAATACAGTAGTTCCGATAAAAATAATTAATGAATCATCAGAATCACTCATTCCATGCCCTTACTCTAGGAATCAAAAGTTCTTAAAGATGTATTAATTGTAAAATACCCCAAAATCATAAGAAACATTTTTGAAATTAATTTGCTCATTCTGAGCATGAAGATTATTAACTTGACAGGGGCGGATCCAGAGAATTTCTGACGGTGTGGGGAGGGGGGGGGTGCACAGAATGAAATTCACGTCGGCACGCCCACCTCAGCCTCACCATGGTTATTGTAAATAAGTGGTAAATAATCGAGCTTTCCTTTCGCCCACTGCTGGATCGCCATTGGACTCATGGGTGCACTCCTTTTTTCCCCTCTTTAACTAAAATTTTTCTCCCTCTTTTTTATTTTTCGGCTTGACTAACGGGGGGAGGGAGTGCACGGGCCCTCATTCCCCCTCCCGCTGGATCCGCCACTCTTGAACATAGAAATTAGTGCATTTAAGAAATGTTAAAAAACATTAAAAAAAACCCCATAAGTTTACAGCGAATGAAAGAAACACGTGTCACTGGAAGTGTTTTATTATTTCTTTTATCATTATCTAGGCCTAGTATAAAAATCAGGGTACACATTTTTTTAATTCAATAATGTCTATGCTCAAGATGTATGTTACTACAGAATGAACAAGTTAATTTCAAAATTATTTTATATGATTTTTATCATCGTCATGGGACGGGTTTCCATTGAGATTCGGGGGTCTAAATTTCGTTTGACACCATAGTGATGTCCAAGAAAAATCTTTTGTGATGGTGGTGGTGGGGTCAGAAGCAAAGCCCCTTGAGCTGAAGCATTCTAGTATGTAGGCCATGTGTGAATACAATCATTTTTGGATGGATTTTGATACCAAGTATATCAGAGGGGGCGGGAGTCGCTCTCGAGAAAAGGGGTTCAGCCGAACCATGACACTGCCGGGAGGAAAATGTATGATGGCCGAACATAAGCCCCTTCTTGGAGCCTGCGTTCATAATCATCATGATTGATTTTGTCTTCATAGACAAATTGTTAAAGATCTAATAAAAATATGCATAATGTACAACACGTTCATCTTACGTAAGAATGGAGATGTAGGGTTGGGGACAATATCTTTAAGACCAGCATTGATTATAACATTCATCGTCATATCCTTCAAATTTGCTACCATTATATGCATGAGACCAAACCTGAAAAATAGAAACACCTAATGATCCCAGGCACGCAGTAATTTAACGCACAATGGAAACATAACTAATGAGTGTCGTGTTAAAGTATCGAATAAGTATAATATTAGTAATAACGATAGTATTATTATTCATAATAATAACAACAACAATAATACTAAAAATAAAAATAATACAAACAAATAAAAAAAAGCACAATCGATAGGCTTTATATCGACTGAATGCGATTAAGGAATTATTTTGTGCTAGGTTAATATTAATTATAATTAATGATATTATTGCTTATTTATTATTACTCAGCGTGGAGTGGTTTAAACACAGCTCCACGCATTTTGTTCTGATTTTGGTGATACGTGTAAACGTGTTTAAACACGGTCTATGCTTAAGATTCTGACGTGTTTAGCATTAAATCTGTTTAGTTATTTTATAATATCATGATGTTAAATGCCTTGACACATTTATTGCTAAACACGTCAGAAACCGAAACACACTTGACTGGCTAAACACGTTTAACTTTTAAACGTGTCACCAAAAGCGGGACAACATTGCGTGGAGCTTTGCGTTTATGTCCTCCATACTGTTTTTACAGTGTACTGTACTCTCAAAACTCAATCAGGTTGCTACCTGCGAATGGCGCATTGTTGAGTAACGCAGACGTCAGAGTAGTTGATCAAATACGCCATTTCCAATACAACGTAAATTATTCTCAAAGTAGTAGTGAAGTCATATACCCTGTCGTCATTAAACACTGCCATATCCAGAACTGCGATCAGTACGGCCGTAAATCCAAAGACAACCAGTCCCCCTGAAAATCGGTAATGAATCGTTATGCTAAATACATTTTGTTAATCAAAGACAATCATTTTGGAAAATGCAAGATACCAACACTACACTATTACATCACTTTAAATAGCACATCATGCGAAAATCAAAGAATGGGCAGTTAAGGTACCCCTGTAGTCTAATGGCACGACGCGGTCTTCGGACAAAAATATAAATTTGCCGATCTGAAATACTCATATTAAATTAACAGGCCATTGTCCAGGACCGTATTTACGGTGGAAGAGGGTTGTAATGTATGCGTACAATTTTTAAGTCAGTAAAGAATGTACCATACTCAATATGAAGTTTGTTGTCTGTAATAAAATTTAAAAAGAAACTTAATACTGTATTTTACAGTTTAACCAGCAGTCTCAGTACATAAAGTTGCCAAAGTAACGATAAATTGGAGCTACGCGATACAACTGGCTCATCTCCCTGAACCCATTTGGTCAGTCTTTGCACACCCAAAACTTCCAGATGTTTTATTGTGTTTAAAATTTTCAAAAATTCATTATGTTATAGGCCTACATAACTTTTATCATTAAAGAAAAGCTTATCATAAGAACCTTTTAATTTATTCGAATTCATTTAGACATGATGCATTGCGCCTTTTAGGAGGAACCGTCCCATGGACGTACTGTATAGGCGTTAGCCTTGACATGTCATACAATGGAGTCAGTTTACAGTAATCAAATTTAAAGTGTTTTTGTCATTTCCAGACGATAAGCAAAAATCTCACCTTTTAAGTACACACTGCAAACCACGCTCTTTTCCATTGCTATTTCCGACGATTTGGCATTAATGTAAATAGCATCTCCAATCATCCAGATGATAGCAAATGTGAACACGACAGACGTGTAGATATTAAAAACGTCATCTGATTTGTAGCTCGCACCATTGGACAAATTGATGATATACATTGTGAGAAAAGCTATCGATTGTAGGTAGACGACCATACCATAAAGACCGCTTAATAACACACTCATCTGGAAACTGAAGTATACAACACTGTAAAACTAGGGTCTGCAAAAGCCCTGCCCAGACTATCAAATTTTATTTGTCAACAACATGTGACATGCCTATAAATATGACTGCCGTAGGCCTACATCATGACCGTACGTATAGGCACATCATGACTATATAATATAAGGGGTGTAACCGCTTCACCGATAAATCTAATTATTATGCAGCGCCCAAAAATATCGGTCTTCCGACCAGGGACGTAGCCAGGATTTTAAAAAGGGGGGGGGGGAGCCGTTATGCGAGATACGTACGACCCCGGCGGGGACCAGGGGGACGAACCGCCCCCCCCTGTGAAGTAGCGCACTCTGAACGTTTTAAGGACTGTTTTGAGAGGATAAAGTGACAATTGTATTAGACACATCCATGAATTCGAAAGATAGGTGTCGCAGGGAGGGATTTTCACAGACTGAGAAACCACCCACCTCAGCCCCACCATGGTTGGGGCTGAGGTAAGAAAATTTATGATTAGGGCACCTCTAGATGGCCGGAAATTATACTTTCATACTTAAATTTGAATATATTTTCCTTTTGTTTTTTTTCCTAAAAAAAAAAAAATAATATTATCTAAAATAGTCATATAATCACGAAAAAGGGGCATGAAAAACCAGATCACATTCTAAAAACAAATTTATGCCCCCTCTTCTCAGCAGTCACAAGACATACTCTGAGTCAGGTGCCGACTCGATGCAGTTTAATGTCCAGAAGGGCGCAGATCTGTTTTTTAAGGTTGAGGGGGAGGGCATTTTGTGAGTCGGCACCTACCTCAGGCTCACCATGGTTGGAGCTGAGGAGCGAAAATGTGAGGAAATAATACCTCTAGCTAGATGGCCAGAAACAACACTTTTAGTAAAATTCATTATCATCACATCACCGTTACCGGTAGTCCAAATGAAGCGCCAAAAATAATCTCATGGTCTTTTTTATCAGGGATTTTTTGCAGCCAAAAAGATCTTCTTAATGTGTGTGATATACCATAGAAAACAAAGCTTAAAAACATTGTCTTTGGGTGTGTTCTTTACATACTTCAAAACCCTGATTTCACAACCACCTCAGCCCCACCATAGTTGGGGCTGAGGTGAGAAAATTTGAGGAAGTAGTACCTCTAGATGGCCGGAAATCACACTTTCACGTAGTAAAATTCATCATCATCACATCACCATTACATAGTCAAAATGGAACGCCAACAAATTTTCCATGTACTTTATCAGGTACCTACTTTATATCCAGGAGACAACTTGACCTAACACTAATTTACTATATAAGCTTTAACTATAATTTTATCATCAACAAATCACAACTTTATTTTTTGCCTTCAGCACAATTTCCTTCACATTTTAATATTATTAATATTACTATCAATTATCATCATCACCACCATTATCATCACCACCATTATTATTATTATTATTATTATTATTATTATTATTATTATTATTATTATTATTATTATTATTATTATTGAATTGAATTGAATTACTATTATTATTATTATTATTATTATTATTATTATTATTATTATTATTATTATTATTGCTAATAGTATTATTAAACAATAGGCCCCACTTTAAAGAAGCTTGCAAAAGGTTAAAAACCAAACTGAACCATACAGTATCACATTTCTGTATCTTAAAAGACTTGGCATGGGATTTATGGATTTTTAAAAATCATGCTTAGACATGTGTTATAATTATAGTAGGCCAGGCCTATGTAAAACGAGTACTGATGCATTTTTACGTATTTTAGAAGTATTCATTTTGGGTGGTCCCAGAAAATAATTTGTATTGGCTCAAAAAAAAAAGCTTTAAAAATTTTACACTGTGTACAAAGGGGGGGGGGGGGGGGAGCCGCGGCTACCAGGGCTCCCCCCCCCCTGGATACGTCCCTGCTTCCGACCGCCAAAGATGAAAACAAGCTGGTGATATCTGTTTACATAAACGTCTCTTCCTTATCGTGCCTCCATGAAGAGCTGGTTTTCCAATGAAGTAAAGACAAAAATGCAACAACCCATGATGTTTCTGACACCACAGTTGTTTGATGTTCACGTTACTTTTGCACCAGCACTGACTCTGATGTGTCACCCAGTGTGACCACTGGTAAAAATCAAAATTCCCAAGATTGAGTCTAAAAAATTCCAAGATTTCTTTAAAAATCCCAAGATTTGCAAAATATTGGTGTATACATACAACTTCATTAAGTCCAATTTTAAAGCTTTTTCAATGAATTTTATTAACTGTGCTATACGAAACAGTGTCTGGATTTTCGAGACCAATAACTCGCTCGTTCTGATTCAAATATGTAG